GCCCCCCCCGTGGCAGATGACAGCAAAACCAACCTGATCGTCAACTACCTGCCCCAGAGCATGAGCCAGGAGGAGCTGCGGAGCCTTTTTGGCAGCCTCGGGGACATTGAGTCTTGCAAGCTCGTCCGCGACAAGGTCACTGGTATGGGACAGGGGACACGGGCAGATGGAACATGGGGACGCAGGGGGTTGGGACATGGGGAGACAGAACAAGGGACACGACACTTGGGGAGACAGGCTATGGCAGACGGGCACAGGGACACAGGCAGACTGGACATGGGGGGACAGGATACGGGACATGGGCAGATGGGGCGTGGGACAGAGGGACACGTGGCACAGGGAGATGGGACACAGGAAATAGGGAGATGGGACTTGGGGACCGGGACAGGGTTGGGCACGTGGATGGGATCGTGGGGACAGGGAGAACTTCTGGAACCTCTCTGGGGACGTCGGGTCCTGCAAGCTCCACCACAGGATCCCTGGTACATGGATGTGGGGGCACATGAAAACCCACAGGGAGAGATGAAGATGGGATGGAAATGAGCCTTAGGGACAGGGGTGGGCACAGGGACTGGGGATGGCACAACTGGGCCTCGTGCTGGAGCCACTCTCGGTGCTGATCCTGTGTCCCAGGGCAGAGCCTGGGCTATGGCTTCGTCAACTACGTTGAGGCGGGTGACGCCGACAAGGCCATCAGCACCCTCAACGGCCTCAAGCTGCAGACCAAGACCATCAAGGTGCCAGGTGCTGGGGACCCTCTGGGCGGTGGGCACCAGGGGGTGGATGCTGGAGTCCCTGCGGGGGATGTTGGGCACCAGGGGTTCGCTTGGGGGAGGAGCGGGTGCTGTGGTCCCTTGGCGGGTGGATGATGACACACCAAGAAGGGTCTGGGGGGGGGTGGAGTGCAAATGCTGTGGGGTCCCTTGGAGGGGGGATGGACACCAGGGGGGGCTTGGATGCCTGGGTCCCTGTGGGGGGTTCATGGGCAGGAGGCAGCTCTGGCACACGGACACCTAGGTCCCCAGGGCTGACCCCCACCCCCTGCAGGTGTCCTATGCCCGGCCCAGCTCGGCCTCTATCCGTGATGCCAACCTCTACGTGAGTGGCCTCCCCAAGGCCATGGGACAGAAGGAGATGGAGCAGCTCTTCTCCCAGTATGGCCGCATCATCACCTCCCGCATCCTCGTCGACCAGGTCACAGGTGCGCCCGGATGCCTGGGTCCCCTGGGGGAAGGGGGGCTGCCCCGATGCCCGGGTTCCCCAGCAGGGTCTGTGGGGTGGGGGAATGTTTCCTGGATGCCTGGCTCCCATGGGCGGAGGGACAGTGAGGTGTCTGGAGGGGGGTTCTCCAGACGCCTGGGTCCCGTGTGTAGGTCTAGAGGGTCTTCCCCAAACGCCGGGGTTGCTGCAGCTGCGCAGCGGAGCCTCAGGGCTGTGTCCCACGGGTGCCCTGCACACAAGCCCGCCGCTACGGCGCCCTGCACCACCCGCCCCAGCGCTTCCGGTGAGCCCGATGTGCCTGGGGGCACTGGGGGTGGGACACCCCTGGTAACGGGGACACCCCCATCCCAGAGAGACACGGGCACACCCCATGCCCCCCCTAATGGCCTCTTTTTCCCTCTAGGCTTGACAATTTGCTGAACATGGCCTACGGCGTGAAGAGGTAACGGTTCCTCCCTACCCCCTGGTTTCCCCAGTCCATCTCTGCACCCCCCAACCCCATGTACAGGCTGGGGACCCTGGCAGGAGGGGACCCACGTGTCCTGGGGGGGGAACCCAGCATTTGGGTGCCCTGACCCCAGGCCAGCCCGCTGTCGCTGCTGCCCAGGTTCTCCCCGCTGGCCATCGAGGCGGTGCCAGGACTGGCCGGGGTGGGCCTGGGGGCCCCTGGCGCTGGCTGGTGCATCTTCGTCTACAACCTGGCGCCCGAGGCAGACGAGAGCGTCCTCTGGCAGCTCTTTGGGCCCTTTGGTGCTGTCACCAACGTCAAGGTCATCCGCGACTTTGCCACCAACAAGTGCAAGGGTTTTGGCTTCGTTACCATGACCAATTATGAGGAGGCAGCCATGGCCATTGCCAGCCTCAACGGCTACCGCCTGGGTGACCGTGTGCTCCAGGTCTCCTTCAAGACCAGCAAACAGCACAAGGCCTGAACCCTACCCGCTGGCCGACAGGACCGGGTCTGCTGGCACTACTAGGCCGTGGTGACTCCCACGACCACCAAGGACACCCTGGAGTCCATGGAGAAACCCCCCTGGACACTTTGGGCACCCTCTCCATGGGCACCAAGAACACTGTGGGCACACCCCAAGGATACCCTGGAGACCTTGGGGACAGCCCCCAGGCACCAAGGACACCGTAGGGACCTCCCCACCTTGCAGACCATGGAGAACGCTCCCGAACACCTGGAGACCTTGGGGACCCCTTCCGTGAGCACCAAGGACGCCATGGGGACACCTGAAAGATAGCCTGGATACCATGGACACCCCCACCTCTTCCCTAGGCACCATGGACACACTGAGGACTCCCCCAGATGCCCCAGAGCTCTTGGACACTGGGGGGTGTGTGGAGATGCCGGGGGCACCCCCGAAGATCCCCTCTCCCCACCACCCTGGAAAGGCTGGAGAACCCCCAGGACACTGAGAACAACTGGGGAGGCCCCAGGCACCCCAAAAACCCCGGGAATTGTGGAAGAGTCTGGATCTGGAAGGGAGTCATCGCCAAAGCCTCCAGGAAT